AGCCCCACCATCCCGTCCAGATCCACCCCAGGGCCTAGGCGTGTCTGCCCACTGCCCTCTCCTATGGTATATAGCCCCGTGTCCATGTGCCATAGACCTCTGCTCCACTGCCCCATACACCAGGCCTCACTGGCTTCGTGCCCCATAGCCCCAGTGCTCCACAGCTCGAAAGCCCCATAGTGTATACCCTATTACCCTGTAGCTCCATTGGCCAAGCCCCATGCCCTCTTGCCCCAGTGCCCCATAACCCTAACACTTCATAACTTCAATTGCCCCAGCCTCATACCACGTAGCTCCTGCCTCCCCCTTGTTGACACTTTATTAGCAGCCTGAACACAGACCCACTTCCGGGTCCGGGAGCACGCGTGCGCAAGACGCGCCACGCCGCGCTGCATCAATAAAGCGTCCAGCTCTCGACGCATGCGCAGTCCAAGATCCGATTGGCGGGATGCGCTGCGCATGCGCATCAACCGGGGCCCCCGCGAGCGCGCACTCTGCGCAGGCGTGGACGGGCCCGGCGGGGAGGTGCGCATGCGGAGTGCATCTGGGCCGCCTATGAATCTGCAGGTAGGGAGCGGGCCGCGCTGGGGCTAGTTCCGTCTGGGAGGGCGGGGGCACTTCCGGGGTCGGGCGACCCCTGACCCCTTTCCTGCTCTGCCTCCGGGGGTTGAGGCCTCTGGGGTGGCACCAGGCCCGTCCGAGGGGCATGTGTTCTGGCAGTAGCCTGCCCCCGGGGGTTGGCCCTGCCGCGCCGTTGGTTGTGTAGACAGTGACACGCGTGTTCCCCCTCCCCTGTCCTGCCCCAGGGCCCCGGAACGGAGCCGCAGCGCGATGGAGAAGTTCGGCATGAACTTCGGGGGCGGCCCGAGCAAGCGGGACCTGGTGGAGACAATCGAGTCACAGAAGAAGCAGCTGCTGCAGTACCAGGCGCGCCTGAAGGACGTGGTGCAGGCCTACAAGAGCCTCCTGAAGGAGAAGGATGCGCTGGAGGCCAGCGTCACGGTGCTGTCGGCGTCCCATGAGGCGGACGTTGGCCCAAGCCGCCCAGCTGCCGGCCCCCCCTTGGCCGACACAGCAGACGACAGGAGCTCAGTCCACAGCGAGGACAGCGGGGGCACAGCGACCAGCGTGGACACGGCCGCCAGTTTAACCAGTACCAAGGGCGAACTGGGCACGGAGGAGGAGAGGGCAGCCGCGGGGGCCTCCCCGCTGAAATCAGAAGAGGCCAGTGGGTCAGAGAGCGGCGTCAGCACGGGCAGTGCCGAGGCGCCGGAGGCCGACAAACGGTTGCTGCAGCTGAAGACTCAGCTGGCCACCTTGACCAGCTCCCTGGCCACTGTTGCGCAGGAGAAATCCCGCATGGAGGCCTCCTACCAAGCGGACAAGAAGAAGATGAAGCAGGATCTGGACGATGCCACCAAAAAGGCTGAGGAGGAGAGGAGCAGGCTGGAGGCGGAGCTGGCGGGCGCCCAGGAGCAGCTGGCTGAGGTCAAAGCCCGCCTCATTGCCCAGCAGCACGACCGGGCACAGGAGCAGGGTGACCACGCAGTGATGCTGCGGGAGCTGCAGAGGCTGCTGCAGAGCGAGAGGACCGCGCGCCGGGAGGTAGAGCTGAAGCTGGAGGAGACCAGGGAGGCGTTGGCCGGGCGGGCATGCGCAGCTGACCGCGCTGAGACCTACGAGCTGCACGTCAGGCAGCTGAGGCAGGAGGTGGAGGAGCTCCAGAGGGAGCTGCAGGCCGTGCAGGAGGAGAACAACAAGCCGGACCCCCGGCTGCAGACCCTGCGGGAGGAGATGGGCAGCCTCAAGCATCACTTCCAAGCGCAGCTGCTGCAAGAGATGAGAAAGGTGGTTCTGTCACTTGTGCTTCGGCAGCCGGCTTGTAGGAAGGGAGTGGCAGCGGGGACCCCGGGGGGTTGCAGTGCAGTTCAGGCAGTAGAGACCCTGCATCTCACGCCTCCCAAGCAAGGTGGTGCTCTCTCCTACCTTGGGGGTCTTCAAGAGGAGGCTTGGCAGATGTTTGGCTGGGGTGATATGATCCCGGCACCCGTTCCTGCCTGGGGCAGGGGGTCGGACGTGGTGACCTGTTTAGGTCCCTTCCAACCCTAAGTACTATGATACTATGAGTAAGAGATTTAAAAAAAAAACCATTTTCTGTGTTAGCAGTGGCCACGCTGTGGTACAGGTCACCTCTGCGTGGCATGTGGCAGAGCAGCAGATCAGGCAGGGTGCACAGAGATGGGACCAGAGCAGCAGATCAGACAGGAAGCGCAGGGCTGGGAGCAGAAAGCAAAGCAGCAAATTGGGCAGGGAGGACACTGAAGGAAGCAACAAGCAGAGCAGTGGATTGGGCTGGGAGCAAATATGTTCCCAGCAGTCTTTCCTGCCTATGTGCAGGGGGCTGGACCCAATGATCTTTAAGGTCTCTTCCAGCCCCTAATAACTATGCAGCAATTAGAGCACTGGATTGGTCAGGGAGCGCAAGGGAGGAAGCAGAAAGCAGAGCAGCAGAACGGGCATGGGAAGGGGATCGGAGCAGCGCTTGGGGAAGGTGTAGGGCTAACTTGTGGCCGAAAAGGCTGGCCCCCCACTGTGCCAAGTGAGAAGGACCTCCTCTGTCCTGTGAAACTAACAAGTCTCGCACAAGCCAAAGCACCAGGCATGAGTAGGTCCCCAGTGGTCAGGTGGAGACGAGGGTGGGAAAGCAATTCTCTTGTGCCGTAACATAGTGTCTTGGCACTTCCCGTGGCGCTCCATTTTAGCTACCCACCCGGTGCAGCTGATGCGTCATCCCGTGGCCATGGGGCAGCACCTCGCATCTTGCCTTTGTAAAATCCTTGGGCAGAAAGTTCAGTGCGGATACCACTGTTAAGGGGAAGCTACTTTTAATCTAGCTTTCTGCAGATCGGCAGAATTCTCCATCAGTGACGTCAAGATGAACAACTCGGAAGAGTTCTCCCCTTTTCCCTGGCTCTGTGCAGAACGGGCTGTGAGATGCACTTTGAGTGTGTTAGCTTTCCTGTGGCAGCAGCAGATCAGGCTGTGGGGGCCAGTGACCGTGCCACAGTGAGAGGTCCTGCACTTCTGTTGGTGACGGTTCATCCGTGCTGGCTGAAACGTCCCAGGAGTGATGTGTCCAGTGCCCCACAAGCGAGAGTCGTGGTGTGCTCAGCAAAGACGTACTGTGGGGAGCTCCGGTGGGCATTTTCTGTGAAGTTGGAGGGGCCCTGGGGAGAGACAGGCAAATAACAGGTTAAACCAGGAGTGCCCAACCTTTTGCCCTGTGAGCTGGATGGAAGGTGCCCAGTCCATCTGTGGGCCATATACACCCGCTGGGCTCAATCCAGCATGGGGGGCAGGTGGGTCAGGCTGGATTCAGCTGCTGGGGGGCCCACAGCTGGAAACAGGACTCCAGATGTGGCCTCCCCCGTGCTGAATAGAGGGGAAGAATCACTGCCCCGGACCTACTGGCAGCGCTCCTACCAGTGCAGCCCAGGATGCTGGTAGCCTTGGCAACAAGCACACACTGCTGGCTCCTGTTCAGCTTATTGTCCACTGTCACCTTTTCTGCAGAGTCCCCATGGGCTGGATTTGGCCCACTGGCTAGGGGTTGAGCACCCCTGAGTTAAGTAGTTTCCTTGTTTCTGTGGGTGGGGAGAGAGAAGGCGTGAAACAGCAGATGTGGTAGCAGAGAGGAGGGAGCTGCTCCAGCACTTGAACACAGAGGCTCCCTGTGTATAGTGAGGCAGTAACGAAACCCATCTGTGCTCTTCTTTCCAGGCAGCCCAGGCAGAAGAGCAGCTCCGGCAGCAAGCCCAGATGGAGGAGCGGCGCGTGGCCAGCTTGGAGGGGCAGGTCTCCGAGGCATCGGAGCTGCTGGGCACTTACGAGAAAGCCAAGCAGAAAGACCAGCTGGTGATTCAGAAGCTGAAAGACCGCATCATGCAGCTGGACCTGGAGAACAAGACCCTGGCTATTGCGGTGTCCAGCCGGTCCCCCGTGGACCTACACCTGGAGGAGGCCAACCTTGACTTCAACGTCCTGAAGGACAAAATGGAGATGCTGAAGAGGCTTCTGCAGGCAGCAGCTAAGAAGAGCCAGCCAGCTCTGGACATCGAGAAGCTGTGTGAACTGGAGCTGCCAAAGGGCCATGAGGCAGGGGACGGGGAGAAGGCCACTGCCCTCTACTACCAGCAGGAACTAAAGCAGCTGAAGGAGGAGTTTGAACGGTACAAGATGAGGGCCCAAGTGGTCTTCAAAAACAAGTCGGCCAAAGACGGCAGCACGGTGAAGGAGCTGGAGGAGGCTCAGGAGCAACTGGCAGAGCTGAAGGAGAAGTACGTTGCGCTGCGGCTGTCCTGTGAGGAGATGGAGAAGCAGCATCAGCAAGAGCTGGAAGCCAGGAAGCAGGAGCTGTGCCACCTGCAGCAGGGTCACCGGCAGGAGCTGGAGAGATGCCAGCTGGAGTACCGAGAGAGGAGCCTCATGCTGGAGGAGGAGATGCACAAGCAGCGGGACCGCGCGCTAGCCATGCTGGCGGAGAAGGATCAGGAGCTGGAGCAGCTGAGAGCCGTGGCCTTCCCATACGGGCTCCACGGCTCCAAGAGCTACCTGGGACCAGGAGGTAATGTGGGTGATGACAGCTTAGCGGGTGACATCTCTTCTGAGAACCTCACACAGGCCCTGCACATCGCTGCGGCCAGCGAGCCCACCTTCTTCCTGTACGCAGAGCAGCTGGCTCGCAAGGAGGTGGAGATCACAGCCCTGCGGAAGCAGAAGCACCAGCTGGAGACGGAAGTCCACCAGCTGCAGGAGAAGATCCTGGTCGAGGGGGAGAAGCACAGGGAAGAGGTGTCTGCCCTTCAGGACTGTATCCAGAAGACCGTCCGGGACCAGAGCAGGGAGGGAGCCAACCTGGAGTATCTCAAGAACATCATCTACCGGTTCTTGACCTTGACAGACTCTCTAGGCCGTCAGCAGACGCTAACAGCCATATTGACTATTCTGCACTTTAGTCCGGAAGAGAAGCAAGTGGTTATGAGACACTCAGCCTATGGCAGCTGGTGGCTGCCTGGGAAGAGATGAGACCTAGTTCTCACTTGAACTCCTCCTCCCCTGTAATGACACATTCCTGGCTTCTGCCTGTCCTGGAAGACCCAGCTGCCCTTCCCCTTCTTACAATGCAATGTGTGTCCTGGCAAACGCTAAGGAGCTTGGCAGAGCCTTCAGCAGGGAGCTGAGCTTTTACACTAGTGCCTTTAGCACTACTCTAACGGCAGAATCGCTCTGGTCATTTGCCAGGACTGCAGATTTCTTTGCTACAGGCATCCACAGGAGGGTGGGGAGGAGACCCTGACTGAGGGCACCAGGTGTGTTAAATCTCCTTCCCCTGTTGTGCCATCCCTCTGTGCATGCAAGGAATAGGGGGACCCTGTCACTTGCTTGTGTGTGGGCTTTCCAGGTGGGCCTGCAATTGAGCAGTGAAGGAAGCAGCCCTTTGGAGATGGGGGGACACAATGCTCATGGTATTTGGTGTGGGGAAAAGCAACAGGATGATGGTGACGGGTGAAATGTAATTCCCACTGTCTGGGCATGGGAAATCCTTGGCAGCTTTGCGGGATGGCCAAAATCACATGAGAAGGAAACAGCTCCTGGTTTTCAGTGGGAACAGCCAAGGTCTGCTGGGGGGAAGGTTGGGGAAACGTAGCAAGAAGTCCCCTCTGCAGCAGGGATTCTCCACAAAGCGGGACGTGGGCTCACGCAGAGGGAAACGCTTTTCCAGCTCTTTCACTGACTGGCACTTTATAGCAACGGAGGAGTGAGGGGTGGCTCTGGGCCACATCCCTTATATGTACTGCAGTAGACCAGTCACTGCTCTGTCCCCAGCCTTCTGGGGGGAGACAGGGGCTGTTCTGGGAAGGGGGCCAAGGGGACAAAGCGTAGGGGATGCTCTGGCCCTTGGCAGCCATTTGCAGGCTGCTGAGACTTTTGCCATGTCCTGAGTGCTTCTAAGTATAATTTTACTTGATTTATTTTGTGACAGCTTGGATGGGGCCCAGAGCCAGCGCAAGAAGCAGAGGAGGGCAGGAGGAGTGGTTTCTCCCAATACCAGGGAGTCTTGTAGCTCTGGAGTGCCTGTGCATGCTTCAGGCTTCACTGCTGTCATCCTGAGAGCCTGTTGGGGTTGGCCATGCCTGTGGTGAAGGGCCTGTGCGCCAGCCTGGTCAGGAGCAGAGTCCCTGGGGAGATGGGCTATGGCTGCCTCCTCACAGGGTCGTGGGAAGGAAGATCCTGCCAGGAAACAGGAGCAAAAGTAGCAGGGAATTCCAGTTGGTCCTGCTCCCTTTCCAGCACGCACTGCTGCCTTTCTGGGGCAGGATCGTGGTGCCAGCCATGCAGCATGGCTAGTAGAGAGGGGCACGCAGGCCACGAGAGCCCCCTCCGCTCTGGTTAGGTAATGAGCCAAGCTGGGATCATCCCTTCCCACTCTGAAGTCAGTGTTCGTGCCTGGGGTCGAGGTCTCCCTTGCCCTTGCCCCTGCCCCTCCTGTGCTTCAACTTGTCCCCCCTTTTTTTTGTCTCCCACCCACAAGCAGCAGAGGTTCCATTTGTTGCCTCTGCAGTGTTCTTGCTCCCTGCGCCTCTTCCCACTCAAGGACTGGCACTGCCAAGCCAGGACTGTCTGCTGCATGGTTGCACAGCAAGGCCCCTTGAGCTGCCGGGGCAGGATGGTGTTGCTGCGGCAGGTCAGCACATGAAGCAGGGGTGAATGGTGCTACTAGCTCTGCCATCCCCCAGCAGTGCAGGGTAGCTGCGCTGGGACCTGCTGAGTGTTGCCATGTTCCTCCAATCAGGAGGGGGTCAGGCGCTGTTCTTGGGTACTATAGTGGGTTTCCTGCCACTGGGGCATCCCGGTGCTGCTGGGGAGCAGTATTAGCAGGGCCTATCCAGGTTCTCTGCCCTGCCCCTTTTGGTATAATGTATCCAGCCATCCCTGTAGCCCCTTTCCCAGGGCTGTCAGCTGGCCCCAGGACCAGGGCTGGTGTCCAAGGCTAAGCTTTGAAGTTTCCACAGGCCAAAGTTTAGGCCAGCAAACAGCAAAGCTTCTGCCCTCCCTCGGACACCTCTGCCAGCGGCACAAGGAGATCTGGACTGGCTGATTTGCCAGGTGCACATGTAGTCATGAGCTCTGGGGGTCATACATGGGTCTCATTAAAGGTGCATTGTGGTCCCGGCAGCAGCAAACAAGCATCCTTCTGTGCGTCGCCCACCGGCAGGGGCTGCAGGAAGCACTTGCAGTCGATGCCTGGCCCCAGGCCTCCCTCCATGCGCCATGATCAACCCCCACTCCGTGCTGCTTTGTCTCCACACACAGGCCATCACCCCTGCAGCAGGGCACGGATGTTGCCAGCCCTCAGCCTAGAACCTGGAATCCCTTATTTGGGTGGGGAAACCCTTCTGCAGGTCATAGGTTCATAGATTCATAGATTAAGGGTCGGAAGGGACCTAGTAGATCTTCTAGCCCGACCCCCTGCCAGGGCGGGAGAACAACAAAAAAACCCCAAAAAGAGAAACGGGACTCATTTGAGTCCAGCCAGGTAGGCATCCAGCCTCTTCTTAAAGACCCCCAGGGTAGGGGCCAGCACCACTTCCCTTGGAAGTTGGTTCCAGCTCCTAGCCGCCCTAACTGTGAAGTAGTTCTTGCGGATGTCCAATCTATACCTCCTCTCCATCAACTTGTGCCCATT